TGTTGGGAAAATAGGATATAGAAGTACCCCGCGTGTAGAATGGGAAATCGTGCTCGCTCCTCAATGGCGTCGTCACGTGGAACTCTGTACGGGCTGGTGTCCAAGCTGATGCAGTCGTAAGTGATACATGTACATGGATATGAGCATGTTTGTTTGTTTTATTTGAATTCGCACTGGGCTAAACGAGCAGAGATGCTCAATACCAAGGTAGCGGGATAGTGGAGGGGAAATGAAAAGAATGGGTGGTGAGAGGGGAAATGAAAAGAATGGGTGGTGAGAGGGGAAATGAAAAGAATGGGTGGTGAGAGGGGAAATGAAAAGAATGGGTGGTGAGAGGGGAAATGAAAAGAATGGGTGGTGAGAGGGGAAATGAAAAGAATGGGTGGTGAGAGGGGAAATGAAAAGAAGGGGTGGTGAGAGGGGAAATGAAAAGAATGGGTGGTGAGAGGGGAATAAAAGGAGGAAAATATGTACCAAATTCAACTTGGATGGTGAGCCAATTAAAATTAAATTATAGTGAAAAAACATGAGCCTTCCAAGTTGGAAGGTTGTTGGTTGCGCCTTGGAGTGGTGTTGGAGCTAGGTGTCAGGTCGCCGAATGCCTCAGTTCTCCTTGTCAGTGCTGTGCCATTTTTTCGCACTCGCTGGCTGTATACGATCTGTTTACGTTGGTGGACAGTTAGTCATAACTCGTAACATGTTGTCCTTCTCCTTTTTCACCAACATATGTACTAGTATGTTTATTCGCCAGGTTACATTTTGCATCGTCTTACTGGTACTATCGTCTCTGGTGTAAACTGAGGCAGTTTTTGCCTGCTTTAAAAGTCAAACCTCTGTACAGTGCAACCATGGAAGCTAAGTAATCCAGTAATTACATAGTGTAGTGTTATCCCGAGTTGAGGGGTGGGGATCTGGTCATGGTGTAGTGTTTAAACGGGGAAAGGCAAGGCCATGCTTTTCCCGCGTTTGTGTTTATACTTGAAGTTTATTTTCATCGATACCAAACGTGCAGTGTTCGGCCCAATAATAATAAATTAAGATTGCATGGCGTCAGAGCAAAGAAAAGTGGAGAAGACAAAACGAAAGAGTGATAACTGATAACCAAGCAAAATTAGTATTATAAAAACTTGGATGTTGAGCCAATAGTAATATTGTAAAGAGAAAAGGACCTACGTTGTATACAGTACTAGTTATGACTAACAGTCCACCAAGGTAACGAGATAATAAACAGTCAGATAGTGCGACAACAAGGCACATAACTGACAAGGATATTGAGACATTCGACGTCCTGACACCTACATGTACATGTAGTTGCAACACACCTGCGAAGCGCAAACCAACAACCTTCCAACTTGGAAGACTCAGGTGCGGAAAGTTTCAAGTTACCTTGGTGGACTGTTTGTCATAACTACTAACTTATACAATGTACACGCAGGTCCTTTTCTCTTTTAATAACACATGTAGAAAGGAAAAGGACATATGGAAACGAGTTAAGAGTAACTCTCCACCACTGTAACTAGATACTATATACAGTCAGAAAGTGCAACAACTAGGCACAAAACTGACAGAGTACTGAGACATTCGACGTCCTGACACCTAGCTTCAACACATCTCCGTAGCGCTAACCGACAGCCTTCCAACTTGGAAGGTTCAAGGTTATGGCAAGACCAAAGAGGGGAAAGCAAGCGCAACGACAACACTAGCATAGATACAGTGGTGGAGAGTTACTCTTAACTCGTTTCCATATGTCCTTTTCCTTTCTACTTTTATTATTGGCCCAATACCCGAGTTTCATGTACTGGTAATAATTATCATGCCTCCCTAACATCACCTACATGTAGGGTGACAGTTGCCAATAGTTACAGGAACAGATGTCTAATGTCACATGCACCGGAGTAGTAACTTTGTGTTCATCTTGTACAATGTACACTCAAGTACTGATTGAACTCGGATGGAGAGCCAAGGATTATTTTATAAAAAGTAAAAAAAGTGTAACTATAGTGTAACTTGTACTGAGTTCCTTGGTCCTTTTTTCACTTTTTACAAGTACGGATTACACGTGATCACGGGCTCGTCACACGAAGTCTGAAACATCTAGCTTCGTTCCCTCGTGTTGTACTCTGAGAACTACCGTCAAATGCACACCTCCATCTCCCAGGAGTCCCTAGATTACATTAGTGTACATGTGCACGCACGCACAGCTGCACATGCATTAACTTCCCACGGACACCACACACACGCACGCACGCACACATACCGGCGGGGCGAGCACTGCAGTACTGCAGCACTGCAGTACTGCAGTACTGGTATGCACGCGCAAGCGTGACTACTTCATGGATGATCATATTGACAGCTTTCAAAGTTTGCTTCTGCAAACTATGACTACATCCTGACAGGATGGCTTCATGCATTCAAATGAGAAAACTCCGTGGGGAATAGCATTAAATTGTGTCTGTGTGGACATCACTGGTGAAATGTTTAAATGCATTTGAATCCCGATTGAGACATTTATCGAGGCGTTTAATATTTAAATTTAAAAATCTGATAGCAATCGAGATCTCGGTGGAACTGTCCTCTCTCTGCTGGTAATATACGAATGTAGTGGGTCAGCCTAGAACGTAGTACTCAGAGATGGAGTGACTGCTACTTCGGTGTATTTACGTAGCGACCGCGTGTGTGTGCATGCATGTGTGTTTGCGTGCGCGCGCATGTGTGTAGGCAATTGCTCTTATTAGCTGATCGCAGCATCAAGCAAATCCATTAGGTTCACGGAGTTGAGCATGAGATAACGTGGACTGCATAATTACTCCTTGGGAGCAATGTCGACAAAATGGCACCACAAGTGTCCATCACATAGCTATGCCAAATTCCATTGAACACAACATGAAAGCATCCTGCTTGACATGTACGAAGATTACTAGCCACGACTCTGAGCTACATGTAGTTCAAAGTAGTTAACAGTATCTGAGGGCTATTTGGCAATGGCCCGATCATCCCCAGGCAGCCCAGTAGAACAAGGTACTGCAACAAAGCTGTTTGTCAACAGATAAAATCACAATGGAAACAAGTCTCAGCGACTTCCAGTGGGTTCTGGCGAGTTGAGCGCGGTGCATACCGAATTAAGGCCTAGGCGTGTGTCCCGGTACAGTGTGCACCAGGCTGTTATGGCTGTGTGTGCACCAGCCACACATTGTAGTGGCGGTAGTGATCTTCTACATTTGGAAGCAGGTGACATGAGAACACATGACCTCTAGACATAAGATGGCAAGTACCTCGATCCGTCCGCCCTGGTCCAGTCAGGGTTAAGCGCAGAGTTCGTGTATTTGCCTCAGCAGGTTCACCTCGCCCTCCCAGCCCTGTAACTGCAAAGGTCTTCTTAGCACGTTAACACGCTGCACTAAAACGTCAGACGTTGCCTTCATGCAACGACTTCTTGAGTCGGGAAAGGAGCAGCCCAAGGGAAACCCGCGTACGTCGCCAAGTGCTTTAGGGTAACATTGACTTCCTTGCTGCTTCCTATCACGCTTAAACGAGCGGCGAAGTGCACTTTCCGATGGTTTCACTTTTACGTTGACATCCTGACTGGCACTGCAAGCAAGCAAATTCAGCACTCAAGAAGTACACTGCGTGCGTGTTTGGCCAGTCAAGGGAGAAAGGTAGTAAAACTGGCGATGGACTAGTGTCGGTGCAACCGGCTCGCGCGGGCAGATCATCCTGGGACCATTGGCCAGGGGTGACGGATGCAGAATCGCGAACGTGCCCCTCAGCACTGAACTGTTGACTTTGCAAGGGCCGGTTTCATAATGGCTGAATGCATCGCTGAAATGCTGTGTAGCGAAACTCTGTATAACACACAATCATGATAGAGTTCTGGTAAAACTGTGCGCTATGGCGGACGGATTCGGTGGAGAAGAAGAGCTACAGCTTCTGAGTAGTATGTTGTATCCAATACAGCTACGAAAGTTTGTTATATCCCCCAGATATAAGCAATCGGTTTGTTCCTATCCACTAAATTTTGGTATGAGAAGTTTCGCTGACTGCGAGATGCACGTTGCCTCAGCACTGCCAACCATTTTTCATTAACCAGGCGTGCCGTAGTATACATCATGACCTCTTGAGTCGTGGCGAGCAGGCTGGGCAGCAGTACAGACAGACGTACTGCATTGCGGCGGGCTTATAGCGGCGGACCTCTCACCGCTTGACGATGGCCTGTTCAGTGCGTGGAGGGTGACGTGCCGGTCGTTGCTGCGCGCCATTACACCGCTTCTAATGTTATTCGTGTTCACCATGTTTGACCTGGCCTGCTTCTGACCTCGCTCGCTGCTAGCCCCATTATAATGTTTGACTTAATCGTAAGCTAACTCGAGATCAGTCTAGAAGTAGCCGATAAGCTAAGCAGCTCTTCGTATTCAGATGGGTATCTGTGACGAATAAGGCTGGGTTTACCCGACCAGTCACGGGAAAATCGCCTTGGTGCTTCAAAGCCTTGTTCGAATACTGACCTCGAGACGTACGCCGGTTTCGATCAGACACCTCACAGCTCTGCTGCACTGTTTTGGCGGGCTTGCTGGCTTTCACCCATCGCCTTTCTGTCAGCACAGGCCCGGGCATGCCACACGATGGTCGGTCTCTGGCGTTTCTGCCCTTCTGCCCACCGAGACACTCCCCACTTCACAAGCACACACCCGACACGTAACGGTATATTGCACCCTCTACAGGGTCACTCGAAGCACAGGTGACGTGTACCGCCTGTGCGTTCTAGCTGCTTAGCTAGAGGCAAGACTGGTCAACTAAGCCAGTCAGAAAGGCAACTAAACACACCCGTTGCCTGCATAGTTACCCTGTTCTACAGTTTCCCATGTACGTTAGTAGCTACCTGGGCCGTTCACATTCAATGTAGAGCGTAGCGGTTTCAGCGACTGTTCTGTTCCTTGTATTGTTGAACCGTTGTAAACTAGTTGTAACACTTCAACACAACAACTTCGTCTCGTACCTTGCAGGCAGCAAAGGAGCGGACCTGGCCAAGGAGCGGGAGGCGACCAGGAGCAGGAGCCGGAGAAGATGTCTATGACCGCAGCACTATCATCACCGTCGGGAAAGCTGAATGGCGTTCTGCACGCGTTGTCCATCCTACTAGCGCTGATCTCCATCGTCATTGCAGCACTGGTGGCATCTGGTGATATCCACAATAATGACAATCTCCGTAAGTTGAAACTGGTCTCCTTTCCGTCTTATGATGGTTACATGTATTTTTGTGTCGCTTGTTTGTCTGGTATGCTTGGTCACGTTGCCGTCTCTTTCCTTCTTGCGGTGTCTCCACGTCTCTCTCTCTCTCTCTCTCTCTATCTATCTATCTATCTATCTGTGTCTGTTTGTCTATCTGTGTCTGTTTGTCGCTCTCTCTCTCTCTCTCTCTCTCTCTCTCTCTCTCTCTCTCTCTCTCTCTCTCTCTCTCTCTCTCTCTCTCTCTCTCTCTCTCTCTCTCTCTCCACGTGGCCCTCCCTAGACACTAGATGGCGATCAAGTCTATCCATATCACTCTTCCCTTTAACTCGTAAACGATTAATCCGACAGTGGCCTAAGGCTATGCCTTATTCGCTTTCAAATGTTTTTTACGGATGCTCCCTCCCATTGGACGTACTGACATGTCTATTTCAGACTCGGTTCGTGGAGAGTATTTTCATGAGCCCCAGCTCACACACGGATACACGAAAGATATGCATAATACTTACTCGCTTCTTTCCTGCCCTAGCGGGGAATGACAATAAAAAAACCTGGGCATGGATGCTCTCGGATGTTATTAACAGTGCCAACGAGTTCGATATCAATTCAGTTAGTTCAATGCCCTCCACAAGATATTGACTCCAGGTACATCAACTTAGCGCCAGTATTAGGGGCACCGCTATGTAGTACGCAGACTTTGCCGAAGATCCCTGCGACACGTCTTCTATATGCGCCTTCGATACCAAACCGTCCAAGTCAATCAAAAAACAGGGTTAGTAACGCAGAATGCATTGCGGCTCCCTGTGTAGAGAAGATCCAGGTAAACAATGCACTGCGTGTCCGCTCGATCGCTTTCGTGCCCGACGTTGTCTGCGTGTGCATGTGAGCAAAATATCCGTGTGTGTACGTGTACATGTATGTGTGCTTGTGTGCGTGTACATCGCGCTGAGCAATTAATTCTGGCAAACGGCGCAACAAGGACACCAGTGGCAGTGATCCTTCGTGTGCGGCCTACATGACGACTTTAACACTGGCAAGCATTCTTGTCTTTGTCGACCGTAGGCAAAGCTCTACTGGGTTCAGCACCGCATGTCGTGATGTTGGCGTCCACTGTGTTTTTTAAGACTTGCACTATGTACAGCACGTGACGCTTTTTTTCTGATCGTAAATCAGTCCCCTCTGGCTATTGATGAGCATGGGCAGAAACAGGCTCTACAGAAGTAAAATACGAAGGTTGCGATTTTATGGCAGTAACGTTATGTTGGACTGCCCTTAGTATGTGTATTCACAGTGTGTGTTGAATAGTGTAAAGAGCCCCATCAGGAGTCCATACCCCCTTGTTTTGGCGGCTGAACTCCTGACACCATGCAGTTATGTACTCTTGACAGTGCTAAAGTTACATAAACCGAAAATTCAAAGAATACTAGAAGCAATGGTGTCCTTGGTGGCACGAAAGACATCATGCTTGTGGTCTATAAGTACTATGTTGGTAGTATGTACGAGTGCATGGACATGCATGGACATCAGAAACGTTATGTTCACAGCGTCATGTGCCGGTACATGTTCATGTACATGCAAGTGTGCGGGTGGATTGGTGTACCCTTGTACGGCTAGCTGTCTAGATGTGGCCCACCAACTCCAGGCACGCATCATACACCAAACGCATTATGAACTCTGAAAATAAGGGTCCCATTCCCATTCACTTTGCGGTGGGTCTGATCTACTCGCCTCCCACCGCTTTAGGAGCTGCATCTCCGCCTTGATCCTTGGGGGTGGTGAACGCAAACCGTGAATTAAAAAAAAAGTCTGATGTTCGCAGCCAATTAGGCGAGATGATCGCCTTTTGACATACGGTACATGTACATGTAGACCGAAGGTGCGAGAGTGCGAAACTGGGCAGAATCTCTGTCACCACACTGAACAGCCCATGGCAGTGAGTGACCCTACACGCGGAGTGCTGTTTGCCTAGGCGACCACGGTGTGATCGCATCATAGCCTAACTGAATCACCTGTCTTCTACATTGGCGGCTCCTGCTGTTCAACGATGAGGATCATGCCTCTACCCGTGGGCGAATATTATGGCCAGACCCATCATGGTTTCAGGTGGACTTGAAAGGTTTAGCGGAAGTCCAGTGGGCAGTTGGGGAAAGTTCCCTTTTCGACTCGAGTCATTGGTTTGTATACGGGGGTACTAGTGCCTCAAAGGAATTCCACGTCACAATCATTTTAGAAACTCAATTCGTCAAGGCTGCCTGTCTGATCTGGTCTATGTCCGTTGAGCATTCATCCAAGGTTGAAGGTGGGCATAAAAGAGATGCTTTCACGCGATGTCGCCTCCAGTGTCACTGCATGTGTGCACAACAGCGTGACCATGCAGGTTGCGGACGACGTTAGAAGTTAGTTGCGAGCCGACCATAATACCAGTTCAAAACATAGAGTGAGGTAACGAGTAGGTCATGCCTAGCGGGTAACCTGACCGGACCAACTGCTTGCTTAGCCCATCTGCCTGTCACTTACATCGCACCATGCAGTGAATGACCTAGCGGTCGAGTAACTAAACGTAGCTGCAGGAAGACCCCATCACCTGATTGCTAACCAATAGTGTACCTTGGAGCAGGCCAGCTCGACATCTGTGGCGTGTTTACTACATGAGGCACGTTCTTTCAATCATCAGATGAGAAATAGTCATGTACCCTCATCATCTGGGAGGAATTTTGAAGCATGTCTATTTTCATCATTCGACAAATCGTGTAAAATACTAAATCCGGTAGAACAGCGTTCGTAAACTTGCCTCTAGTCTACCATCTACCTCTATCGGTATAATGACTCCACTCCACTCTACCAGGTAGCTAAAAACGAACGCAGCCTAAGACTTTAGTCTTGCATTAATTATACATACTGACGCCTTTTGAGGAATGGAAGACCAGCAACTTACTTGCTCCCCTCCTAGGCAAAACAAAAAAAGTAGCTAGCAAATGTCCCACCCAGTAGTAACGTATAGTGTGTGTCGACTTTTGCCGTGGATACGAGTCGAACGCAGCAGACACGTTCCGCAACAGACCCAGGCTGCCTTATTGGGCCACTCAGCAGAGTAAGGATCGCGCTACCGGGGTAGAAGCGGCCATCACGACCCGCACACACTCGTCCAAACTTCGTTTTGAGTGTACCCACATTTTCTTATCCTTCCGACGCCCATCTACATGACTGTACATCCAGCTTTCCCAGGGAACGGAAAGAGCATTGTAAGAGGAGTGCCAACTTCCTGAGCTCAGCCAAAAGCGGACAAACGTGAACCTTCCGTTCTTCACTCAAAAGGTCCATGGTCGGAATAGGGCGGAATAGGGCGGAGTGGAAGAAAACATTGGCGCAAGGTTACTTATGCTCTTTGGCTCATCTCTGGTGAAGACTTCTTTCTCCTCCGCACCAGGCACACATAGACGCACAATTATACACACGCACTCACACACACACGCACACACACACAGACACACACGCATCCTGGAAGGAGAGGAATACTGGCACATGCACAGCCTGGCCTCGTGGATCAGCTGAGCAGCTTAGCATAGCAGTCTGGGACTGACAGTACTGCCACAGTCAATACACACAGGAAACATGCATAGTGACAGGCACCGTAACGACAAAGGCAAAAAGGCCATCTTTCGTGGGGCACCACATCAACACAGTATCGGTAGCTTGCAACATCCCGGCAAGTAGGCTGAGCTATCACGAGGCAACTGTGTATAGACTATAGTATAGAGGGAAACTCCATGTGTTGTAATGCTCCATCAAATAACTGTATGTACTTCTGTGATGTACTCTCCACCACTGTACTTCAAGTATGACTGCGGCCGCTCAGTATTCTTTTGATGGACTTTTGTTTGTGTCCATTGTGCGCGTGTGTGTTTTGTGTATGTAGGCGTACGATCATCGGGACCGGTTCAGTCACCCATGGTGGAGTTGCCAGTCGGGGTAAGTCTTCATGTACATGTAGTCTGTACATGTATGTATTATTCTACTCATCTTTGTTTGACTTTGAAACTAGCAATAACATATGACTTGAAAGTGAATGTAGCTTATGTGCACAGTTTCCTGGCTCGCCTGAAGCGACAGCCACATTTCTACATCTGCAATCTCTTTTCGCCAGTTCTTTGCCACACGAAATCTCGCTTAGGATTGAAGAGAAAGGATAACCACATGAACATCCTGCCGATTATCAGATAATTCACTGGCCTTATTCGGACACATGCAACACTGGGAAATGCAATTCTCGGAGTGAGAGAGAGATGCATGTTAGTGCACATGCAGGGAGAGCTTCTGCAAGATAGTATACACCACAGTCTCAATGAAGTACACATGATCCAAATGCAAAGCTATCAACGACGCTCACAAGTTAGCGTATTAAAGACGTTGCGAGCGTTATCTGATATACGTACTGTTATTTTGTGAACAGAGTAGGTGTACGGAGCTCGTGCACGCTTTGAGTGGATACATTTTAGTTCCTGGCGGATAATGCTGGCAGAAATATTGGCGGAATTTAGTACTTTTCTGGCATGTTTCTGCATGCATGTTTGGTATAGCAAATATAGCCTTTAGAACCCGGGTTCTGCCAATTTCAATGCTTTTCGAGCACAATCGGCTTCCAATTTTTCGAGAAATAACACGGCATCTGTGGGGCGTAATGTCCTTAACGAACAGGCTACTAGGACAGCACGTGAATTCATTCTAAACATGATCTATTGCTGGTGGTGCGCGGTGGTGTGTCTGTATTGATGCAGGATCGGCTGATGAGCCTGGAGACGAACATCAACAATCAACAAAGAACGTTACAGCAGCTATCAGCAACCAACACAGATCTTCAGCGAAGGGTAAGACATCATCAGATGAACCCTATACACATTGGCATGTACTGTACTGTACTGTACTGCAAAACCAGAACAATTCGGTAGTGTATTATTGTTGGTACAGGTCCTCCCTCATTATAACGAGTCCGGTTACCGGTACTACATAAACCCCGTTAGTAAATAGAAATCTGAAATCCCCTGGCAAAACGTGGTCTATACAACTGTTTACAGGTCCGGTTACAACATAATCCGTTAGTACATAAAATCCGTTATAACGACCCTTTGCCCAGGTCCCTGGAGTGCCAAACCCTCAGTATAAGATAATATTGACCATGCAGGACCAAGGTCAAAACACGTAGGATAAAGCAGAAAGAGGAAACGTATTATGTCTATGTATTCGTGAATATGGACGATCCTTTGCATCCAAGGAAGAGTTATGTTGGAGTAACTTGGAGATTTTCAATTATCTTATAACGAGTTGAAGCATCCATAATTTATGTTGTATCGAGGGTAGCCCCGGTAAGTATGAAGTAGTGCCTATTTCACCTTTAGCTGCAAGTCCTGCTACAAGATAAGTCTCGTTTATATAAGATAACTTTTTCGATGGCCCAGAGATTATCTACTAACGAGGGAGGACCTGTATATCAATATAATCAGGGTCCCAGTAGAGCAACACTGACCCCGTACTGTCCCGGGTTAAAACTGGTGTTACAAGTACATGTACTAGTAACGTATAGTGTGTAATTTAGGTTGCATTGCTCTTAGGTGTAAGTCGCTTCTACCGAAGTTGCCAACAATAAAGTCCACCGAAAAGTTCTGGTTTTACCACACTGTAATCCCGGCAAAAAGTTCTGGTTTTACCACACTGTAATCCCGGCAAAAAGTTCTGGTTTTACCACACTGTAATCCCGGCAAAATTGAGAACACGGTAGGTAACCTTAGCGATTGAATTTTTGGCAAATGGACCGGCTTTACAGAGGTCAGTGTACACTGAGCTAATTACTTGCTGAACACGTTAGAACACCATTCAGCTGTATACCCACTCAATGTGTGTCTCAACATGTTGTTTTTGTTGTTGTCGCCATCGTCGTCGTCCCCCTCCTCTTCCTCCTCGTTGTTGTTGTTGTTTCAATCTACAGGTACGGGTTGTGGAGGTCAGCCGTCCTGGTTTGCCTATGCAACAGCCAGTACCTGTGCCAGTCCCTGGACCTGGACCTGGACCGGTGCCTGGAGCTGGGCCTGGACCGGTGCCAGTGCAACAGGTACCGCCGAACGTCATGCAGATGGGACCAACGCCAATGCAGGGCGGCGTGTCCACTACCTACATACGCTGGGGGAGGACCATGTGCCCTGGCCAGAGGTTCATGCCGGGCGGGGCGCAGATGGGCGGCGGGGCTGGCGACCCGTTCCAACAGCAGCAGAACGTCTTCCAGAACCAGATGCGAGGACGGTTCATGAACGGCATGCAGGCGGGACCGCGGCCTGGCTCGGTTCATCTCGTCTACGAGGGAGTGACGACCGGCTCATGGAGCAACAACATGGGTAACGGAGCCAACCCGCTCTGCCTGCCCATCCACCCGCGATGGGGCAACTTCAGCGACCTGCCCAACCAGGGAGGACGCCTGTACGGCGCCGAGTATCGCCTGGGTCAGCTAGAGGGCACGTACAACGTGTTTGAGAACACGCTGCAGCCCGGTCGGCTCAACCACCAGAGCGTGCCGTGCGCGGTGTGCCGGGCGCTGCAGGTATCCACCTCGCTCATGGTTCCCGGTGTGACACAGTGCCCACTCGGCTGGCAGGTGCAGTACCACGGCTATCTGATGAGTGAGCGCTTCGACTCCACCAAGGCCGAGTACCTGTGCGTGGACGCGCAGGCCGAGGCCTCGCGGCACGGCGGGTCGAGAATGCCGGGCGTGGTGCGCGAGGGCATGATGCTCTACCCGGTCGAGGCCCAGTGCGGCTCCCTGCCGTGCGCGCCGTACGTGATGAACAGAGAGTTGACCTGTGTCGTGTGCACGATATGATCCGGGATGTGTAGCTACTTCCTGCACTACACTACAGCAGTCAGTGCAGCACTGCATCTACATGTACTTCAACATGAGTAACAGCTATGTGCCTGCTGTGCTGCTGCTATCCGTGTTGAATGTGGATGATGTCACCGATGACGTCATCGCCAATTCCACTACAAGTATTCTCAGTAATTCCCAGACACACGGTGCAGAACATCATTGGGACAAAGCCCAGTTTATCTTTCAGTGTTGCTCGCCAGTCTTGAAGGGTCAGCATTACTGAAGCTTGTCATGGTGTGACCAGCACATTGCTTTCTGATGACTGCCACAGCCCGGTTGATACAGCGACTATCCGTACTCTTGACCTGAACTTTCGCTTGACTGCATGTACCACACCGTAACAACACCCGTCATCGTCCCCCCGGCACAGATGCAGCTTGTTCTGTCTGTCTGTCTGCCTCGCTCTCGTTCTCTCGTCTCTCTCTCTCTCTCTCTCTGTAACGCTCTCGTTCTCTTGTTTCTCTTTCTCTCTCTCTCTCTCTCTCTCTCCCTCTCCTTCTCCCTCTCTCTCTCTCTCTCTCTCTCTCTCTCTCTCTCTCTCTCTCTCCTTCTCCCTCTCTCTCTCTCTCTCTCTCTCTCTCTCTCTCTCTCTCTCTCTCTCTCTCTCTCTCTCTCCCTCTCTCTCTCTCTCTCTCTCTCTCTCTCTCTCTCTCTCTCTCTCTCTCTCTCTCTCTCTCTCTCTCTCTCTCTCTCTTTCTCTCTCTCTTTCTCTCTCTCTCTCTCTCTCTCTCTCTCTCTCTCTCTCTCTCTCTCTCTCTCTCTCTCTCTCTCTCTCTCTCTCTTTTTTTTTCTCTTTCTCTTTCTGACAAGATCATATCACAGCTATTGCCACACTGCTGGTCGGGGTGCAACTTGAGAACACGGCATTTTGAGACGTTTTTCTGCATTCTTTATCGTGTTCAGCTCACGGTAACAGTAAACCATTTGTACTCTGCAATTCCGGACAAGAAAGTATATTCGTACTGCCTTTATTCTTTTGATAATACTCTTGCAGTTGGATTTTGTATGCTAACTTAGTTTCGTTGAGCCCGCAGCTATCACACAATGATCCCAATCAAAACTGAGAACTGCATCTTGAAACCAACTGGGAACTAATACTTACTTAGACATGACTGGATTTGAGGTACCTCCCAGCTTGCAGCAGCATAACGTTACTGCTTTGCAATCTTGTGCTCGGCTTCCCAGGCCTTAGTATCGCTAGACTTGATCCCATTGAAGATTCGGCAGCACTTCGCCTTGCATTTTTTTTAAATGACATAGCCGGACGTTTGTACGGGCATTCATTTGTTTCCATTTTATCACTGCTGATTTCAATATCATATTCAAAATTATCAAAATTGATGCCAGTCAGAACTGAATTTTAAGAGCATAACTGACATGCCTCTTCTCTTGTGTATTGTAGGTAAGAAGTGTGGCTTTAGCCAAATCTCAACAAACAGTCCGGGGACTCATGAAAAAAATGCCAGGCAAATATGATGAAGAAACGGGCTTGCTTCAGTGGTCCCACCTGCATAAGTAATTACGGCATGTTTTCAACTACCGTAAAACCTGTAACTAAAGACCACCATGACTAGCGACCAGCCTGGTACTACAGACCACTTCGCCAGGCACGGACGGTCGCACATTCATATACAGAGTATGGTTGTGCTGTGCAAACCTCTAACTAAGGACCACCTGCCCTAAAGACCGCTTTCTCTGGGCCAAGGGGTGGTCGTTAGTCACAGGTTTTACTGTATCATGGTTAGAATCATGTTCATAACACTGGATAACATGTTAGTTTGGGCGTAACTTAAATTTCGGTAATTTCAGTAGAGAAACCAGGCACCTAAATTTAGATCAAACCTAAAATTAATGGTACTGGAGTACTCATAGTATATGTGAAGGTAAAGCTGGTCACCTGCATTACACCCGGTGTGCAACCTGGCAGGTCCACGACACGGGAAATTTTAATACGCCTAAAATTACATGCCGTGACAGTGTTGTGAACCATTCTGATTCTCTAAAAGTCAGGAACGAACGACCACACCGCACGAGAACAACTACCGGTATTGACTCCTGACAGTATATTTCACTGACTCCATACCTACATGTATGTGCATGTAGATAGGGTTTCCAGGGTACCTCACCATCAGTTCTAAGCGCTGTTCTATTTTTACAACATGGCAACAAACCATCATGGTGCGAACCCCAGCAGGAATGATCACAGGGAGGCACACGTAGCGAGGGCAGGCGAAGCAGTGGACGCGGGGCAGAAGTAGCTAACCTGACCCTGGGTCTCGGTGTCGACTCACTGCTCATGCGCGCCAAACAGAAGAAAAAAACACTACACTGGTTACCAGTTACAGAAAACAAAATGAACAGGAGCTCTAGGCATATAGGGGACGGTACGTGCATTGCAGACTGTTGAACATGTTACATGTCACAGTGGGGCTTCAGTATAACGTACCTCCATGGGGACCTAAACCATGTAAAAACAAACTCGTACTCAGCACGCAAAGGGTTAACAGCTGTACTTTATAGCTGAAATCCTGTACAGAGCTTTTTCAAGGTCGGACCTACGGTTGCTTTTCAGGGTGACGTGCGAGAGATTGTGCATTTTCAAGTTTGTCTCCACCTGTGCTTGGAGCGACTCTGATGCTTGTTCTTTTCCGGGCAAGCCATGGAAGGGCTTCCTGGCAACTGCTCTGACTCAACACGAGTGTTGGACATCTTTGTATGGGAATGGATGCATGGAGGTGAAAGAAGCAGTAGAATGGCGCTCCACTTGATGTCCATATTTTGTATGCTTTTCAATGCATTTCGAGTCTTTTGACATGCACCCTATAGTATAGACCAGGGAGTAGTACAATTGTACTACTCCCTGGTATAGACCTACAGTAGCTCCCTGTAATAATAAATAATTGAGAGGTTCCGCGCTACGTAAAAGTGAGCAACTTTACCTTAGCGGGCGGGGAAAACCCGTGAATTCGCGAATTTGCACTCCACTTACAGAAAGTTGTCTACGTAAATAGGGCTCTGATAACGTAGCTGGTCGTAAGTGGATTGGGGTACAAATTTATGACTCTCTCCCCAGGTCGATCTGGTCGTACACTGCCGCGTTTGGAGTTGCCAAGGGCAGCTACGTGATTTGAAAACTCCGTATGGCGGAACACAGATGCACATGCAGTTTACGTGAGACTTTCCGTAGATCGACTACGTTTTTTCCCAACGTAATTACGTGATGCAGAACCTCTCTAGTATGGTGTACCTACTGTTATACATGTACTAGGGGCATGTTCGATTGGTAGGATCGGGATCCCGATCCACCGGATCCACTGGATTCGCACCCTTTCGATTGGTCGGATCCGGATCCGGATCCTTCGGATTTGGATCCGGTCAACCCTCCTCGGGGAGCAGGGTTGACCGGATCCAACGGATATCCGGATCCAAATGTGACCTTTGTGCGTATATGGCGGGTAAAAATCATTTTTGTACACATTGTGGTACGCACACGTGGATGGAGATAGAGCTTGTTGACTTTTTGTACGACGCACGGGATGAGTACGACGTTCACCCTTTTGGGTGCCTTGTGAGCGCCATTTTCAACATGGCAACAGTCAAGGTCCAAAATAAAGTGTTCAGTTGAATCTGAAGGATCCGAGGGATCTGAGATCTGGATCCCGATCCTTACCAATCGAACATGCCCCAAGCCAGGGAGCAATAAAAACCTTCTTCTTTTGCTGTTTACGAGTGCTCCCTCCGCTCAGTTCAGTACAAACTGACTCGTACCCACTCAGTGACAAATGCTACAGCAACTATAGTACGAGTACTACTGTAAAACATGTAATTTTCGCCGTGTAACTTTAATTTCGGTGATTTCGGTAGAGAATTCAGGCACCTAATTTTAAATTACACCTAAAAGGCACTAGAGCATGTACTGTATGTGAAGGGAACGCTGGTCACCTAATTCTAAATTACACCTGAAACCTGGCAGGTCCCTGGCACCGAAATTTTAATCCACCTAAAATTACATGTACAGTATACTAGTACTCTACAGTGCATTTCAAAAACTATAGACGCGTAGGGTTTTTGAAATATTTCAAATTTGGCTGGAACTTTTTGAGAATAGTTTTCGGAATATTGCTCAGGATCGCTCCACAATTACTCTATTATAGTTTCTACAGGATTGGATAACAGACGCCCAATTTGAAAAAAATTATGCACAAAGTGATCACAGATTTTATGTGGTATAGATGCTGGCATAACGGTTTTTGCCTAGGTACGCGTCATAGTTTTGAAATGGACTGTACCTTTTTCCGCCAAGAACACGTACACACGGTATGCGATAGCCCCGCTATGTACTCTAGCTTGTTTCCGCTAGAGAACGGATTGGCTGCTCCTTGTAGTTGTGCACCAGCAGCGCTAGTAAGTACCTGTAGTGGCCGATCCTGTTGTAGATGGTAACAACCAAATCATGGCAAATGCACCTGTTGTCGCCGCACACTGCTGCAATTCATTTTTATAACGAAGAGAAAATGACCTGTACACGTACCGTTCTTACATGTAGTGAACAGGGAGCTGTGTAGGCACGAATAGTCGACTCCCGTCCCGGTCCTGGAGGAAGAATAATGGTTACAAAGTTGGATGCTTGGCCTCTTCCCTGGCCTTCCTGGATCAGTTTTGACTTGCCCAACAAGTGGAAATCGCTTGAGGATACCATCCTGAAGCGGTGTGCTGAAGGACGATTAATTTTGTCTCTCTCTCAGAGTGCAACGGTCATAAATTGGAGATTTGGCTCACGGACTATCCATCGTGAGTGGAGCCCGGATGCTGGCGGTGAGTGGTGTGTGTTCTCTGCACAGCTGGCTGAGGTTAGTATAAACGTATAAACTAATCCTTATTTCAGGATTACCCAAAGGCTAACGCCTATCCGGGGGATCTCCTATTTGTGTATAATCAAGCCCTCCAACCGCCAAGCACTCGACTCGAGGAAATAGAAGTTAGTTGTGAGCCGGCCACAAAGTAGAGATCGATGACGAACATCACTGGCACATCACCTATCATGCCGTGCACCAGCGCCGCGCCGAACGTTGAAGGGTTTGCAGTACAACTACGGGTACAACTACAAGCAGGAAGTAGTGTACGCATAGTACCGTGGAAGCGAAGAGGTCATAACCCGGCATGACCTTATCAACCATGCATGCTCGCATGCATGTCCACTCTTCGGGTCATATGAGGAGGTACATGCATGTGGGCACAGAGGTCGACGGGTACGGGATGTGTTGAAGCGCTAAAGTGGCAGTACAGTTGTGCCTGTTTTGTCGCAACTCCGCGGAAATGGAGTTTGATATTTTCGAAACTGAATTCCCTTCGATGGAACAGCGGTCTTCAAGCTCCCAGGCCCATTCCTTGTCGTTGATCGACGGAAAAAAGCAGGGTTATGTTTCAGCCAGGATCTTACAGTTGGGAAATGGTGAGCTAAGATGGTGGACATTTCCTGCCCATAGTGTTGAGCTGTTTTGTCCTGGATTAGTGGGCATCCACGCCAGAGAGCAGATATCCCGCCTGACCAGCAGGCTGCTGTTAGTAGTAGTAGTAGTAGTAGTCGTTGCCTTTGATAGTTTCTGCCGCAATTTGAATCGGATCAAACCTCGCCTACCTGGTCGACAGGAGCGGAGGCGGATCAGTTCTAGTTCACGGATCTATTCAGAGATGGCCATCTGCTGTGCTGTCGCGGGACGACTGCGTAAGTTTCTAATTGTTGGAATCGGGCAGTACTAAACAACCTTCGGCCCTCTGGTTTGAACTTTCGACTGCTTGGAGGACTTTGTGCACTCACCTTTGTAGTATGTACTTGTACATGTACATGTATGGTAACCATACTACTTTCTAGTATATTTACGGCGCAATCGTGTCTTTATATGGGATAGAGCAGTGACCAAGCCTCTATCGATATATCCTTGGCATGCATGAAACCAAGAGTGCATAACCCCATGCACTCTCGATGAAACTGCTGTAATTTGGAGCCGCAAAAGGACTAAAAAATCCAAAGGGACAAGTAATAGTTTCCTCATTCGTCTACCGGTATACCGTAGAAAGGTCGCTCAGTGGGAAACTCAAGAAGAAACTCGTGGAAGTAAGTTCAAGCTAGTTGTTTTCTCCCCTATCTCCCGCATTGCTATTGACGAAAATACCTGTAAAGACTGGAGGCGTGGAGCATCGCTGTTCAGTATCCCGGCTTGCATGACAAGCTCGCGACTTGCTTCAGTGGATTATGCTGTCTTGGAAACCTGCAGAAACGTGTACAGAGACCTTATGCGAGGATGTTGGCCTAGATTTTTTCCAGCATGGTCTCCTCAACGAGTATAAAGCTGTACATGTGATTGCATTGTGTTGC